ATTTTCCTGTACTTTTTACTTTCTTTCCAGAGCTTAACAATCAGTTTTTTTTTTTTTTTCAAATTTATCAATTCTTTACCTCTTGCCATGATAAAAACCTTCTTGCATGAATATGAATTACAGAATGTTCTGTTTGTATTTTTAGGCGAAAAGTAACTTCTGATAACATTGGAACATTCTAGAATATTCCACTTAAATAATCTAGAGTATTAAAGCAATTTAAGTTTTAAAATCTGAAATTTGCATTGTACAAATATTTTTACACCCATTAAAATGGATAAATTGGATTTATTTCTATTAAGTTCAAATTTTTTTCTGTTTTCTATGCATATTTAGTTATGCATCTGTGTACAGTTAATTATATAAAAAGTATGTTTATTCATTAATTGGAAATATAATGGATTAAAAATTTGTATGTGTACAAATATTCACCCCAATATATATATAATATATATATATATATATATATATATATACACACACACACACACACACACACAGAATATGGGTGTTGTCCTCATTTTTGTGGTCATATTCACAAAGTTTCAGTTATTGTATGCTACAAACCTTTTCAGGACTAAATAAAGTGTTCAGTTTGAAATTCCAATGTATATCATCTGAAGAAGGTCAGTGTGTACAATCACTGAAATGTTATGAATATAGCAATATATTTTAGGTCAACAGTCTGAATAGTGTAAAAGGCGTAATCAATACCGTAATTACCACCACCAAATAACTTTTTTTTTTTTTATAGAGCTATTGAAATTTTTTTAGCCTAACTCATTTCCTAAGATCTGACCCAACTTAAACATCAGAATAATTTTATATATATATATATATATATATTTTTATTTTTTATTTTTTTATTTAAGTCACTAGTACATTGGGTTAATAATTCATAACAATAATAAAAAGAAAACAAAATAACTATTTCTGTCCATAATAATAGTTACATTTACACTGATATTTCAGATACCAAATGTACCAATTATTATAGGACGGAGGCATGCATGCATTTTAAAATACTAACTATTGTACTATGTTAAATTGTTTGTGAATAGCTTGAAACAAGTTACCTGTCTATTCTTGTTAATGGTTGGGTGAGAAGGCTAGTTTTTATTTCACCTGAAGGGCAAAAAGGTTGCGTTTATTGACACCTGTACTGTTTTCAGAATTATAGTAATTACGATAACAGCCTGCAATTGGCCCTCTATAAGGTGGTCCTGCCCATGCAACATGGAAGTCCAACCTGTAATCTAAATGTAAGATAACCTATCATAATTGACTGACCAGTGATTTGATAAAATCCTGTTCCTTTATATATATATATATATATATATATATATATATATATATATATATATATATATATATATATATATATATATATTTATTTATTTATTTATTTTTAAGATGTTCAGTGAGATTTGATTCATTCATTACTCTTGGTATTAAATAAATCACTTTTTGCCAAACATTTTGTGTGTAATATAACCATGAAATGGAAATATCTCTTGAAAGGAAGAGATTAGCAACAGAAAGCTGAAGTTGAAGCAAGACAATCACTTGATAAGCAAAGGTATCTGAATGTCTCGCATAAAAGGCTTAAACAAATAAGACTGCAATCTAAGAAACATAGGAGTAAAGAAACTGATTAATTAAATGATCTATTTTGCTCAGGAACTAATTTTGTCTAAAGGAGGGTAAATATCTAATTTGTGTAGATTATTAAAATGACTAAGGAAAGTAATCATTCATAAATTTATAACTTTATTTACTAATTTGATTTACCACCCTTCTACAGATGGGACACGGAATCTATAAATAAATACACATTTGTAATTATTATGGTTTGATAGTGATTTTTATAGCTGAGGTATTTACAAGAGCGAGAGGTCAGTATCTGAGCCTAGGTTAAAAAAATAACAAGAAAAATCTTAAAAACAGTATATTGGATGCTGGTTTTCAAGTCTGTCAGGAAAAAAAATGCTTGCTTGGTGATTGAAGTATCTCTGCATTTTCTACTTGAGCCAGTGGTTGTCATTAGTTTATTCAAAAGCCTGAGTTTTGACCAGGATAGGGGTGCTGTACAAAAATCCAAGACATTATATTGTTATGAAAAGGACACTTAGAATCAGAAACAGGTAGTAGAAATTTCTGGGACACATAATGAGAAAGAAGGGCTTGGAACATTTGACACTCATAGGGCATACTAAAGACGAAAGGAATATGGTGAGGCAGCAGGTCACCTACCTGACAAGCTTATGTGAATGGATGGTTGAACAAGAAGTGTGAGGAATGGTAAAAAGATAAACATTGCTAAGAACTCCAAAAGATGTGAAGAGTCAAGTTGTGGATATGGTATAGAACAGGTGACCAATCCTCGGCTTTGCAAGCAACATGTGGCTCTTTGATGTTGAATATGCAGCTTGTGGAAATATGTTGGCTGTACTCCTTTTGTCATCACAGTTAATATGAAATGTAAATAAGAACAATTTTGAGCTTTATAATTTACTGGGTATGAATTAAGACCCCACTGGATTAAAACATCACTTTTAATGTTAATGTGTATGTAACAAAAATGTAAGTGTAAATTTTGTTCATGTCTTGCAGCTTGCAAACATCTGAACTTTATTGTATGTGGCTTTAACATTAAGCAAATTTGGCCACTCCTGGTATCGAAGACTATAGCAGTATCTATTGAAATTTTGAAGTATTTTGCTATATGTGTAGAGAAATAACAAAATTTTCAATGTTTTTAGTTTTTGTTGCTTGTCAATCAAATAAATAAATTCAATGCAAATAATTGAGTAGAAAGAAGAAGCAGATAGTCTTTCAACATCACTGAGTGAACTGGTAGATCTTTCACAGATCTTGCACTGGCATGTAACCAAGACAAGTGGAAAGAGGTGGGGGTCAGGTGCTCAGCAAACATGACCACACCCAGTCATGGGGCTGATGATTATTAAATGGTCAAATGAAAAAAAAAAAAAAAAGAAAGAAAAAGCTTTCCCTGTAGGTGAGTTGAAACTGTGTGAAAGGAAAGGTGACACTATAACAAGTACCATGCTGTGAGAGGCAGTCATATTCTGTGCAGTTTCAGGAACTGTTCTGACCACAATGATCTACATACCTGTATTTTCATTGCTAGAAATAGTGAGATTTTATCCATTGTAATGACGAACCAGAGTGAAACCTAAGCAAGATTGATTTGTTACCCACTATTGCACAAGATATAATGGAATACTCTGACTTACCCACTTTGTTGCAAAGGGGGAAGTGCTGTCAAAGTTAGAATCCCAAGGGATCAAAAAATAGCGCATGTTTCACACCATTGTATAGGAATAGAAGAGAAAATCACCTTATACAAATTAGGAAAGTAATGTTTTGGTGATGTACTTTTGAATGGAATGTGTCTGTTGTCATATGGGAAATGGGCCCAAGTGTGTCTGTTGTCATCTGGGAAGGCTGGGGTGCCTGTTGTCATCTGGGAAGGCTGGGCCCAAGTGTGTCTGTTGTCATCTGGGAAGGCTGGGCCCAAGTGTGCCTGTTGTCATCTGGGAAGGCTGGGCCCAAGTGTGCCTGTTGTCATCTGGGAAGGCTGGGCCCAAGTGTGCCTGTTGTCATCTGGGAAGGCTGGGCCCAAGTGTGCCTGTTGTCATCTGGGGGGGCTGGGCCCAAGTGGCCTGTTGTCCAGGCTGGGCCCAAGTGTGCCTGTTGTCATCTGTGCCTGTTGTCATCTGGGAAGGCTGGGCCCAAGTGTGCCTGTTGTCATCTGGGAAGGCTGGGCCCAAGTGTGCCTGTTGTCATCTGGGAAGGCTGGGCCCAAGTGTGCCTGTTGTCATCTGGGAAGGCTGGGCCCAAGTGTGCCTGTTGTCATCTGGGGGTGGGCCCAATCTGTTGTCATCTGGGAAGGCTGGGTGTGCCTGTTGTCATCTGTCATCTGGGAAGGCTGGGCCCAAGTGTGCCTGTGTGTGTGTTGTACTTGGGAAAATTGGGCCTGGCTATCTGTTGTCCTATGAAAATGTCAATTATTTACCTTTTCATAATTCACTTAGTTTTCAAAAATGGTCAAGTCAGTTTTTTCATTTTTTTTTTTTTTTTTTTTTTTAATTTTACTTTTTGCCCTTATTTGCCTGGACATTTTCATTATATTTTTAAAACAATATGTTTTTATTGTTTTTGCTTATTTTGTAAAACTGTTTAACTGGAAACTTTTCTTTTCAAGTAGATATTTTCATTTTGTGCTTTCTTTAACACCCAATACAAGACTCAAGTACCAACCAGGGAAGCCTCCTCTCAGAAGTCTGTTCCACAAAGTAGCTGCTGTGGAAGAGGCTGTCTAAATGGAATTTCCTTCTTATTAATGGAATGCAAAATGGAGATGCTTCATCTCAGTGCATGTGACGTGGTGGGTCTTAGCTGTGAAAGTCTGAATTTGTGGAACTAAGGAATGTAGTTTGCCAGAACATTTGCCATGGAAATAGCAATAAAATAGCAAGAGTCTTGCAATGTCTCATCTGTGAGAAAGGGGTTTGAGAGTGAAAAATAATTAATCACTTACAAGGCTATGTAAGCGCTTTTGAACTCTGTTGATATTGAAAAGTGAGGAGTGGGCAGCTCCAGCTGAGAAATATAGAGCAGAGCAAGCAAAGTCTGGTACTTTCTGGAATAGTACAAGGAACTGACCATTTTTCCAACATTGTTTCTGATTGATCATAGATATAAGTTTCACTTGTGGTCTGTGGTGAGTACCAATTCTTGTTAAACATAAGGAGTCCCCTTGGGAGAACTATTGTTCATCATGCTAGGCAAAAATTCAGAATCTTCTCTGTGATGATGAAATGTCAGTAGTTTATTTTTTTTTTTTTTTTGAGCTATTGAATGTTTACAAGCCTGTTATAACCCCCACCACATTACCCCATTGAGCTATTCCTGCCTTTATTCTTTTCTGTTGCGTTCTCTTAATTTTATTTCATTAATATTTCTCTGACTTGCAGAACCTGTGTTCAAGGATGATGACTGCATGGAGCCAATACCCCTGGGAATGGAAAGTGGAGACATTCCTGACAAGAATATTTGGGCCTCAACATATGGGAACAAGCGATTACCAAGTTATGCCAGGCTTGGCAGACCTTCAGGTAACAAATCTTTTTATTTTTCTGGAAGTTGGGAATTTAATTTTCACTTGACTCTGATAATTTTGATTTACTTAGTTTTTGGAAAGATTTTGTTTGGAGTTTTGAACCAGTTTTAATTAGTTCTTGAGATAGATGAATCAAGTTTAATTAGCTAATGTATAATTAATAAACAGGAATATTGAGCTCCACAAAGGGGCCCAATAATACTTTATTATTCAATTGTTCAAAAAAAATTATTCTTGTATATGAAATTTTAATTTCAGACAAATTAATTTTCTTCATTTTTGGAAAGATTTTATTTTTACTATTTACATTGTTTGGGCTGTTGTCCTCCTCTTTGTTGCCATATTCATGACAATTCAGCTTGCTTCAGGTGACTGGAATTTCGAATTGAACCCTTTATTTCATCCACCAGAGTAGATTGTTCTAGTTCCACATGCCATGTCTCCATATCAGTTATCTCCCTTTAACTCTACAAGTTTTTGTTCACCTCAGCTGTAGTCTGGTATTGAATTCACAACTCTTTGGGTCAAGTCATTGGATTTAACCAATGCTTTTTATCCACTGGACCATGTGTCCTTGTGCATGAAATAAAGGGTTCAGTTTGAAATTCCAATCAGCTGAACAAGGCTGTAGCATACAACAGCCGAAATGTTGTGAATATGCCAATGAAGATGAGGACAACAGTCAAAACTATGTAAATAGTGTAAATAATTACAATACTTCATCTCAGAAATATAGACAGATCTTGAAGGTGAATATGGCAACAAAGATGAGGACAACAGTCAGAACTATGTAAATAGTGTAAATAATTTCAATACCTCATCTCGGAAATATAGATAGATATGGAAATATTTTTAACTTTTTTCTTTTTATTTTTTAACATTCTTTTATTTTTTTTTATCCTTTTCTTTTCTTAACACATTTCTTTATCCATTTCTCTATTTTGTTGCTTGTCTCTTGTCCCCTCCAATCCTGTATGTTTACTTTCAACTAAAACTGAAGAGAGGAAAAAAAAACAAAACAAACAAAAACTGGATAAATGACATGGTCTGTACCTGTTTTCTATTATATATGCTGAACTTGTGGTAAATAGATAAAAAAATCTTTGTCAATGTTTTGTTTGTTCTATGAATAATAAAAGTAATAAAAATGGATGCTGGAATCATAATGAAAGGTAGATTGAAGCAAGCAATTTCATCAAACCTGCTTTGGTTTCTGCTGATGGCACGGTGTGGACATTCTGAAGCATCAGTAATAATTAAAGACCAGCTGTATGTACAGAAGTTCCATGCATACCGACAGATTATCTATCTTAAGATTTTGATACAATCATGAAACTTTGTGCAGTCTGGGGAGTTAGGGAGTAAAGGCTGATGTGGTTGCAGAAATTGTCTAACAGCCATGACTGTATTCTCCTACTTGTGTGGTATAGTGCAGAGTCCTGTTGCCAGATATAGGGTCTTCCAGCAGCCACTGTCTTGACCCAGCACAGCACTACCTCCTCAGGGCACTTGATGTAGGCCTCTGTGTTAAGTCTGAGGCCCTGTGGGAAGACAAATGGCGGCATAACGTCACCATCACTAGTAATCACTCCAAACACCATGATGTTGACTGGATATATCATCCAACTCTTTCCAAATCCTCTGCACTGTCCTCAGGTTGACACTTGAACACTCTGAAATGTTCGTATTGGAGCTTGTGGTGTGAATACCAAGTAGTACAGCATGTCATTTCCAAATTTCTGATAGTGAATTGCATCATGGTGCTCTTTTTCTCACAGATAGTGCCCAACTGACCCTACTATGCTGTGCAGTCATCAAAAACAAACATGCATGTGCAAAAGTAAAAATATAAAATGGCGACAATTTATCAATCGCACCCTGTATATTTAGGTTTTACTACTATTCTAATCATCAATTTTTAAAACAAAAATCATTGAGTAGTAGTTAAAATAAAAGTGGAGTCATGGGAAAAATGTCCTTTTGATATGTCATTTTTTTGTGGGCACAAAAATCCATGTTGCCAAAATATTGGATTTTTAAAAATTTTATTTTATGAATAGACTTGTATCAATGCATGTTAAAATCTATATAATCATGTGTATGTGCATTTCATGTGAATATACTGGTGTACATGTTAATATGTAGATAGAAATTGTAAAAAGCTATTTATATGTATATATTTGCATGTGATATGTGCATTTGAAAAAATTGAAAATATATATTTGTTGTGTATATTTTTTAATTTTTATGTATGTAAATGTAGTGTGTGTGTGTTTTCAGTAGGAATTTCTTTCCACCCAATATATATATATATATATATATATATATATATATATATATATATATATATATATATATATATTAAGGCATTAAAAACTAGAAATGTTGTATTGCAGGCCATGATAAGTTTAAAATAAAACACACACCAGTCGACCGGTTTTCCCCTCTCGTCAGAACTGTTAACGGGAATTTAGATTATGAGGAAAAAAAGAAAAAAGTCTGTCATGGGTGACATGAATGAATGGACAGGGAAGGAAGGAAAGATAAAATTATACCAACCAAGCTGCTAGAAGCGCAGAACAGCAAGTCCAAGCAAACAATCTCTTTGTTTGCAAAGAGAAGGCCGCCTGGACCTGATGTAAAGCGATTCCAACACCTTGAGATGGAAAAGTGAGTGCGAACTGGCCAAGACGGAAAACCAGTTCACACTGAAATCCATCGCACAAGTTGGATTCTTTATAAAATGATCCGCAATCGAAGACCCATAAGTGTTATGAATGGTATCGCCTAAAGAAAATTTTTTGTTTAGTATTATCGCAGGTGCGTGTTGTTTAATTCTCACGCCCAACCGCTGTGTCGTTTTCTACCTATGTAGTCGCATCCACAACTACATTTGAAATAGTAAATAACAGAGTTAATATGGTGGGGGGGTAGAACATCTTTACACATAGATGGAAGTACAGACCTAGTTTGAAAACAACACGAACGTTCGCTGCAAAATAACACCACGTGAACTACATGAAATACGCTTGGCGAAGGATTCACTAATCCTACCCAACCACGGTAAACGAAGATAGACCGGACATTTACCAACTGAAGCAGGTTTGATTATGTTGAACCTAGCGGTCTCATCTCGAATAACCGATAATGTTCAACGGATAACCATTGTTCACAAAGATCTCAGTTAAACAACTGATTTCATGTTTCAAGGTGTCATCCGAACAGATCATTAACGCCCTATGTGTCAGGGTCCTAATCAAATTAATCTTTTATTGTTTAGACAAAAGGAGTCCCAACGGGTATATAGTCCTGTAAAAGTAGACTTCCTGTACACAGAGGTAATAAACAAGGAAGGAGTTCTTTGAACAAGAACATCTAAAAGGGCAATGAACCATTGACCTCCTTATCTACTGTAAATTTAAGGGCAGGATGAACACCATTGAGTAGGGAAAAAAATTGATCCACTTCCGATTCATGGCTGAACACACAAAAGTGTCATCAACATACCGAAAGTAAACCTTGGTCGGGCAGAACTTAACAAAAGGCTTTCTTCATAAAACCCACAAAAATATTTGCCAAAACAGGACCCAAAGGGGAACCCATCGCTACACCATCGATCTGACGATACATGATATTGTCGAAACTGAAATCGACAAACATAGTGGCAAATTTCATGAGTTCAACGAACACTTCTTCAGGTATATTCGAGGAGTCAAATCACTGCGATATAACATATCGCTGCAAATATCAATAGTCTCCGATAAAGGAACACAAGTGAAGAGGCTACAGATGTCAAAGGAACACATAAATCCATCAGTGGCATCACAATTCCGAATGAATTTGGAAAAAGAAAATGAATCTTTAATACAAAAGGAATGTAATGCTGCAACACTGGTTGCAACATTATAGCAAGCCACTTTGCGACTTTATGCTGTGAAGACCCAATCATCGATAATATGGGTCTCAACGGGACACCCTCCTTATGAATCTTAGGTAATCCATATAGACGGGACGAATAGAACCAGACGGTCTCAATTCCTCCGCCATTTTAGAGGAAAGAACACCACTTTTTACCCATTTGACAAGACGTTTCTGAAATCGAATTTCAGAAGTCAATGTAGAATCATGAGTGTCAATGGAACCAAGACGTTGAAACTTGGAAAGGTCATTCAATATAGTTAACATTTTGTTAATGTAGTCATGGCGGTCCATGAGGACAACACCAGATCCCTTTATCCGGTTTAGTAATAACCAAAGAATGGTTATCCTTAAGGGATCTAATAACCTTATGGTGTTCACTTCTCCATTTCGATTCAGAGAAAGAAATGGGAGAACTAGCATAAGAATGAGCCAAATCATTCAATTTAGCTCGAAAGTCGCTGGATTTATTATCAGACACCGGTTGAAGTTTGCTTGGACTTGCTGTTCTGCGCTTCTAGCAGCTTGGTTGGTATAATTTTATCTTTCCTTCCTTCCCTGTCCATTCATTCATGTCACCCATGACAGACTTTTTTCTTTTTTCCTCATAATCTAAATTCCCCGTTAACAGTTCTGACGAGAGGGGACGAAACCGGTCGACTGGTGTGTGTTTTATTTTAAACTTATCATGGCCTGCAATACAACATTTCTAGTTTTTAATGCCTTAATACGCTTTTGTACCGTTTCTAACCTATTTAAATATATATATATATGTGTGTGTGTGTGCTTGCATATTTAGGCATCATATCTTCATTCAAACCTGTTTCATTGAATAATACAGATATATTGTCTACTTATTTTTATACTAATCCTTTCCAGTTGTCTAGTTTTTTGATGTTAAGATGAAATTCATCAAGGAAGTTGCTGTAGATTTTTTTAACCCAATTATTTTCATTTAAAATTCTAAAACAACTATAGCAGAATGCATCCATGCAATTTTTTTAAAAAAATTGCTATCCCAACAGAATTCATATTTTATTGTAGTTATAATAAGTTTGTCTTTGTCACATATCCATGAAGATGACCTTAGAAAAGGTAAAAAATAGTTAATTTAAAAAAAACCAAAAAAAAACCCAAAATGTACAGTGTTATCCTTGATGAATTTCATCTTAACATCAAGAAACTTATTAGACAACTGGAAAGGATTTTTATTAAAATAAGTACACACACACACACACACACACGTGCATGAATAAGATTTTTCTCGTTTTCTTAGTTACTTTCCATCCCTTCTTTTTGCTTTTTCTCTTTGTCTTGCCCCCTTCTTTTTCTCCCCATCTTTTCCTCTCCCTCATTGTTCCCACCCAAGTATATGTGTGTTGGCCTGTCGAGTCAAGTACAATAAAGATTTCAACATTAAATAATCTAATGAGGGTTGAGATATTGTAAAATCGGTCAACTCAACCCAGCCCTACCACAGCATATAAAAATAAAATGCGAAACTAATAAAAAAGAAATAAAGTGAATAATAAGAAATATTCTTCTATGCGCTGTGTACCTTCAGGATGTTGGTGATCATAGCTCTCCACAATTTCCTGTCCATTGCTGCTCTAAATAAATTTTATCTTTTCTAAATCCTTGTTTTACCATTCATTTATTCTAGCTCCCTAGGCAAGTTATGTGCTGCTTTCCTCTGTCCCTCTTACCTTCAATCTGTTTTGTGAGTATCACATTTTCCAAGCCCTCTTTCCTCATTATGGGTCCTAAAGATTTCAACTGCCTCTTTGTGATGTTAAGTATAAGTGTCTGTTTTGTTTCCATTTTCTCTAAAACTTAACATTGTTGCTCACATGTTTAGGCCATGTTTTTCTCAGCATATTTCTGTGGCTTCCAAGTCTCTTCATCTGTAATGAAATTGTTCAGCATTCACTGCCATTATATAACAGTTCAGTATTGTTTTCTGTGTTTCTATCAAAATTTTCCTGTTTCTTAATACTTTACTTAGTTTTTGGAAGGCGTATTTTGCTATCCCAATAGAAGTATTCTGTCCTATGTCCAAACATTTTCCAGATATTTAAATTGTTGTACTTTTTTCGATTTTGGTATCTGCAATTTGTAATTTGCATGTTAGGCTGTTCTTTTTGCTGGCAACCATAAATTCTGTCATCTTGCAATTGATGTTTGGTTCTTTTTATCTCGCTTTCCTTCACTATCTTCTGTACAAGTTCTTATAGTTTCCTTTCTATGTTTGCTATCAACAGGTAATAGATCAATATTTGATTAAAACTTAAATATTTCAATTGGGCTCTTTTTAACCATTATTATACTGCATTGCATTAATATCTGTGTCATAACTTCCTTGGGCTCGATGCTCATCGGTGTCAACAGCATTTTATCATGTTTTTGTTTCACAGACATCTTACTTTTATGCAATGTCTATTTTGTACATCTTTGGTTTTGTTTAGTCCTTCTTGCTTTCCTTCACTAACTTCTGTAGGAGTTCTTTTAGTTTCCTTTGTGTGTTTGTTATGAACACTGTCTCGTCTGCGTATCTTATATTTCTAGCATTCTGGCTGTCAATAATGAATCCTCAAAGGTTTTCAAATTCTCTCTGAATTGCCTCATATCAGTTTAATGTCTGATGAGAAGACAAATCCTTGTCTTACATCACTTTCTATTTTTGTGTATTTACTAAATTAAAACTTGATAAAAACAGTTTTATTGTCAAAATATTTGTTATTAAGAGTAAAGACCAAAGTATTTTTTGATTATTTTTATTAAATGTTTTAATCCTTTCTAGCATATTCTAAATTTTGGTTAACTATCTTGTTTTTCTTGCATCAACAGATGGGACAAAGATTAGTATGGGAAATTTCAGTGTGTTTTTTTAGTGTTAAAAAAACAATTCTCAAAATTTGAAAAAAATCAAATAATTGTTAGATTTTAATGATTTTCAGGACTTATTCACAAATGAATGAAATTATTTTTGAATTTTTTTTTTTTGTTTTCATCTGTTACCTGACTTAATTAATTTCATGAAATTTTGAGACTCTGAGTGTTAAAAAAATTTCCTTTCTTTTGGAAGGTGCGTGGTCGGCAAGTACCCCAAATGGTGAACAGTTTTTGGCAATTGATTTGGGTAGACGATACATTATCACTGCAGTAGCCACCCAGGGTAGACAGGGTACAGAAGAGTATGTAGCTGAATTCATGCTTGAGACTTCAGATGACAACAGTACCTGGCGTGTTTACACCACTGAACTGGGAATTGATGAGGTAAGTTTGTTTTCAGAAGGCTTGATACTTGCAAGAGTTGTTTTTTTTTTTTTTTTTTTTTTTTTGCATTTGTTAATACCATATATAAAGGGTGTTTCATTAAGATGGATCAAAGTCAGCAGTAAATAAATCAGTGTTATTGGTGAAAATTTATTGGATCATGTTATTTAAGTCATGGCAAGTATGTGTGAAAAATAATATCACCCAAATCTAAAAGAAAAAATCATTAGATGCTTAAACTTAATTCACATTAAAATTGGTCCAAGTTATTGGAACACCCTTTACTTGAGTATTGTGCGAATTAATGATAATTTTTATTTTTTAATAGAGAGGTGGGGGTCACAGCTAAATTTTTTGAGGTTAAAAAAAAAAATCATACATTTTTGTTGACCAGTTGCATTATATATAATTTTTTTTTTCTATACATGAGTATATACGGTAAGTAGAAGTCCTTATAATTAAACAGCAGATTGGTTTTAAAGCTTATAAAGATTCTGAAAATATTGATCTACTTCTGTTTAGAAGAAAAAGAATTTCCTATTGGCCGATTCCACTCGAGTGGCCCCCCCCTCTTGGCCAATTCCACTCGAACCAGTCTTTTTCATTATTATATGCTTTGCTACACATTTTGATTCTTATACTCAGATTTTGTCTATTGCATCCTCTGTCTGTTATATGTAGAGGATATTTCATGGCATTTAATACTCGTATTTATTCATCTTTGTGTTGATCATTCATTTCTTCCACTGAACCAATGTGAATTATCAGCCGTGTCCAGCACCAGATGGATGTCTGCAGACACCTTCCCCCACCATGTCCTGTGTCAGACAGATGTACCTTTCTTTTCTCATGCAATTTTTATTTTATTGTATATATATATATTTTTTTTTTTTTTTTTTTTTTCCAAGGTCATGTTATCACGAATACAAAATTACTTTTTTTTTCTCAAAAAGAAGAAAATGAAACTTGTCTTTTTGTTTCTCTTGCAGATTTTTATTGCCAATAGTAATGGTCAAGATGTGAAAAGAAACACGCTTGTCTTTCCCATCCGGGCTCGTTATATCCGATTTCGGCCATGGCGCTGGAGTTCCTCAATGTCCATGAGAGTTGAGGTTTATGGCTGTCGTTTTAGTAAGCTTCATGTTTAATTATCATTTAATTGTATGGAAAAATGCAAAACAATTGATTGTTATAAAAGACTGAAAAACATAATTTTATTAAAGCAAATTCCTTCTATGCTAGTTAGAACCATATCATGACACAAAAGATTAAATTAAGATCTAAGAACCTAATTCTAATGAACTTTATTCCTGCCACTAAAAATAGAAACAAAGGAAAATATAAACACATATATATATATATATATATATAATATATATATATAGAGAGAGAGAGAGAGACACTTCTCTGTTAGCAGTTCTTCCCCCAAAAAGTGACTTGTTATTCATGTGTGGATATGTGAATATATTTTTAGGTTTTTGTATATATATATATATATATATATATATATATATGTATGTATATGTGTGTATGTATGTGCATGTACACGTATGTCTGGGTGTGTGTGTGTGTACACATGCCTAAGTGTATGTACCTACTTGTATATGTTTTTTTTTTATGTGTATTAGTATGTGTTTTTGAACATAGAAATATTTGGTCCTTTGCGAAATGAGACAATCGTTATATTCATCTTCATATATTTATATTTGATTTAATTTTCCCAATTACGAAGCGGCCCTTTATGTAAAACACATTTTTATTTTCCTTCGTCCCATCCCTCCCCCCACCCTTTCCCTTTTTTTTTTTTTTTTTTTCCCTTCCTATCCGAATTGTCTGTGGTGTGTATATGTCACCACGAAATGTATCTTTATGTATTAGACATCCGTCGACTTTCTTTCTCTCCTCTTTTAAATCCACCCCACCCACATCTCCAAATATTCTCTCTGTCACTCATCCTCATACTTACACTTTCTCTAAATTCTGTTTTGATTTCCGGAGTTGTTTTTTTTGTTTTCATTTTTTGAATTTGTAGGTCTGATGATTTGGATCATATTTACGATTCCAATGGAATAAATTATGACCATGGAATATTAGTGTTTAAGCCTTTTTTTATTATATCCTTACTCTGTCCTAGACATTGAGTTCTACCTGGATCCTTCCTCTTGGAAAATTTTTTTTCTGAAAATATACATGTATGGGAATTTTTAGATATATTTTTCATATGTATGTATATTTTCCACTAATATTATCAATATATTGCTCCTTACCTTTATAAGTTGAGCTCTCCTTGGTATACTTCCAGTTAAACAGCTTTTATTTCAACCTATTCGGATGGAAATGGAGAAATTTACTCCGGATTATTCATTAAAAAACATCCTTACCCTTCATTGCATCTTTTCTCTGTCTACCTTACAGACAGGATCATCGACCTTATTATAAGAATGAGGTGGAAAACCCATTTCGCCAGTAATCCCAAAAATGATCATGAACTGAATCCTGAAACATACAACCTGAGATCCCAAAATACTCCACCATGCAACAAGCTACTTGGACCGTTTGAAGGCGATTTGATTGATCTAATTAAAAGGATTAAGTTCAAGAATTATCACAACTACTTCCAAACCAAAATTGGTAGAGACCTTAACAACATAATGAAATCT